AGAGAGAATGTTTTGAGAATGATGAGGGCAATGAATGTACAAATGCGCTTTACACAATTGATGTGTGTATAGATTGTGATAAGAGTTGTATGAGCACCTAATAAAATGATTTAAAAAAAAAGAAAAGAAAAGGGGAAGGCCGCCAATGTTGTTGCTCTTTGTAGGAGCTAGCCTCCCTTTGGATAAGGGCCATAGTTCCAGGCCCAGCTTCACTTCACCAGGCAGGTGCCTGGGCCAGGACACCACTCCTCTAAAAGTTGAAACAGAAACCTCCATGTCCTCACTCTTCGTGGCCCTTTTTGTGAAAAGGGTGAATATGATCAATTATCTTCCTTCCCTAGGAGTTAGTCCTGAGATTAAAAAAAAGAATACATTTTATCAGACAGTATATCAAACCCATTAAGGCCTTCACTCCTTCAAGGCTCATAACTCGCCAAGCTTTATCAAGATCCCATGCAAAAACACTAGGAAACATCAGTGCATAATTCACATAATTCTTTTATGTCTAGTACCAAATTAGTGATGATGAAAGGGGATTTTTTTAAAAGCTCATTGTATGGTGTCGATTCCAACTCCACACAGGGTTATAGACTTTCTGAGGCTATAATTCTTTATGAGAGTGGAAAGTCTCATGTTTCGTTGGCAAAATGGCTGGTGGTAGGTTTGAACTGCCAACCTTGTGGCTAGCAGGCCAATGCTTAGCCTACAACAGCGCCTGGGCTCCTCAGGTAATGGAAGTTGTATCTGATTTCTCATGATCACCTCTCCCTCCATAGATTTCCCTAAGTCTCCTTAAGGAAGTCCTGGTGGGATAGTGGGTTAAGTGTCGGGCTGCTAACTGCAAAGGTCAGCAATAACCAGCCACTCTGGGAGAATGATGAAACTTTCTGCTCCCATAAAAATTTACAGCCTAAAGAAACCCCCCAAAAACAAACTTAAAGCCTCAGAAACCCAAAGGGGTACTCTACTCTTGTCCTGTAGGATCAAGATGACTAGATGGCGCCTTTTGTTTTGTTGTTGTGTAAGTCTGACTGGATGGCTTTCAACAGGGGGGACTGATGCCAAACTCTCCCAGCTTCCCTCTGTTCTCTCACTTGGATACACATCAATTCTCAGACCCACAGGAAGATAATCAGCCGTTCTCACAATTTCCAGCGAACGCTTCAAACAAAGCAGAAAGTCAAGCTCCCAACACCCACTGGACTTGGTGTTTATTATAACACAGTGTACTTTTCCACGCCTGGTTCAGATAAATGTGTTTTGTCCAAATTCAGGGGCTGCTATTTTCCCGTGCTTCATGAAATCATCTACCGGGAGGCCTTTGAGCTTCCTGAGCCAGGCAGTTTTGCAGGCTTTGTCTGGATCAACTGCTGGAGTGGACTCGCTCGCCTGATATGCCTTCACCTTGGCTTCCCCGTACTCTTTCTCCTCCTTCACAGTCAACAGCATGAACCCCGTGTTCATTCTAAAAGGGTTAAGGGCTGTGTAAAAGCGAGGCCGATCTTTCTTGAGATGGTGGGTCATCACTGTGTTCACTCTCGGAGAAACCATGCGGTTTGGTCTAATGAAGTGCATGCTGGTCAGGGGGGTAGTGCTGCATACTGTGCCTTTAAGAGAGTCGGTCACTTTGTCTTCGCCTTTGACACTGCCAGACAGCCTGGAGTGAATAATCATGGGCTCTGGTATGGTGGACTGGATTCTGGGACTGTACAAAGAATTCTTCAGGTTGGGCTGCAGTTTCTGGATCTCAAGAGGGGTGGTGCTTTGTTTCAGTCCTGTGATGGGGAGTAGTTTCTCACTGCTAGACCTCAACCTATCAACCTCATGCTGCATTGATTTTCCTTTGAAACTCAAGACCTTCCTTGGGTGGGAGATCAAAGGTCCCCATGCATCAATGACTTGTGCTTGGGGCCTCCCAGGATAGGCAAATGCCCCTGAGTTGTGGGCCTGCTGCAGAGCATTGATCGTCAGAAGGAACTGGTCAGGTGACATGGGGGTGTGCCAGCCTCTATTCTTTCGGCTAAGGATTGATTCCACAGGAGTTTCCAGTGGTTCTTGCTTTTGTACTTTTCCCAGATTATCTGCTGTTGCAAAAGAAGAAGACAAAAACACGTCAGCCTCTTAAGAAAAAGAGAAAGTACTTATACGTGAGAGTAAAAGCCATTCGAAGCTATGCAAACGGAGGTCTTTGCTGCCCAATAGACATACCGCCTGTGGGCAAATGTCCCCTATGTCCCGACAGGATGACATTTAACAAAACAGGCTTAAAAAAAATACCCTGGGGGCGAAAATGAGCAAACGATATTGAGGGCTAAAGTAGAGGGCAAATGTTTTGAGATTGATGAGGGCAACAGGTGTACATATGTGCTTGACTCAATGGATGGATGTATGGACTGTGGTAAGAATTGTACGAGCCCTCAATAAAATAATTGGAAAAAAAATACCCTGGTTCTTTCAGATGCACGTGGGAATTAGCCTCTAGATATACATGTTTTGAGGTGAAGCATTCATTATCTTGGAAGTACCAAACCTACTTTTCTCTCCTTTGAGATTGTGATGCTAGTTAAAATCCTCTTTGCAAAATAATTAGTACAGTTAAAATGAAAGAATTTTGATCATCACCTGGTCAAGGATAGTAATTTACCAGGTGCCTGTGTTATTACAGTGGTCTTGACCAGACGAGAACAAGGCCTAGCAGAAGTGGAATGATAAATCTGTTGCCAACCTCACCAGTGTCTTAGTGGACTGTACTCCTCAAATGTGTCCATGAGTGAGATGAAATCTGTTGATATTTAGCTTCAACCGTCTCTCACAGCCATGAAGTCCATGTTGATTTGTAGCAACCTCCAATAACGTTACAGGAGTAGAAAGCCGACTGGTAGCAACCCACTGTAACTGTTTACAGGAGTAGAAAGCCCAGTCTGTCTCCCACAGAGCTGCTGGTGGTTTTCAACTGCTGACCATGCCGATTGCAGCCAAACACATAACCACTGCACTACCAGGGCTCCTTAGTTTCAATAGTGGATACGAGATATGTAAGATGTAGGCTTTTGATTTCTGAATTTTTATATGAAGTGTCATAGAAAAGTATGCCTTGTGATATTTTTCCCTTGCTCATGTTTCTCTTTAAAATGCCTTTTGGTCAACTAACACAGAAATTCTCTCTCATATTCCCAATATCATTGCACTATAATTACATTTACTTTTCTGTCCCTGGAACCAAGCAAATTATGAACCTCCTTGGGGTAGAGTCAGGTCTCATTTGCCTCCTGTAGGAATAAATTTATACTTCAGAGCACAGCTCTAATTAATCTTTGTAAACAAAAATTGTATTGCGGAATTTGGACTCCACCTTATTAATCAAATTTGACTTCAAACGATCTTCGGATGTCTCCCCAAACCAAGCCTTCTTTGAATACTTGAGTAATGCAAAAGGAGTTCCCAAAATATGTTGAACAATCACATTGAACCTCCATGGGTGAGGACAAGATGCCCCCTGGAATGTATAAGCTCTCGCCTATTTCTTGAGAAAACAGTTTTACATTTTGTGCAAGACTTTCAAAGGGCCTCAGGCCCTCAAGTTAATAAAATGTCTTTCTAGGTGAACAAACCTAATACCTCACAAATACATTATCCCCATTTTATAAAAGAGTCATGGAAAATCAAAGTCGTTAGCTTCATCTGATCTAGCAATCAAAAGTCTATAAACCAAACTACACCAATCTAACATATACCGCATATACTTGAGTATAAGCCGACCCGAATATCACCCGAGGCACCTAATTTTACCACAAAAACTGCATTAAAAATGTGCTGAAAAGCTCGACTTATACATGAGCATATATGGTATATTATTATCCTTGGCCACATAGATTTATCTCCCAACAATGTTTCTGTATGGGCAAGCTAGGATGGAATAAAACTTCATTTCAGCCCCCTGACCTCTATTTGTTAGTTAAGTCATATTAAAATCCTGTAATCATGGCAGGGGAGGTTGAAGGGAAATGGGCAGCTAACAACAATGAGTACAATAAGAAAATGTTCTGAAATTGATTGTGGTGATCAATGTACAAAGCTTCTTAATATAATTGAATGATTAAACTATGATATGTGAGATATGTGAGTTTAATAAAACTATTAAAAATAAAACTGATGATTTGCTTTGTAAACCTTCACCAATTCACAATAAAATGTTAAAAAAAAACATAAACATAAAACAGAATGAAATTAGGTAAACAAGCACTCATCTAGCTCAGAAGCAACAAAGTCCACATGGAAGAAGCACACCAGCCTATGCAACCACGAGGTGTCAAAGGGATCAGGTGTAAGGCATCATCAGAACAAAAATCTTACCATAGTGAATGATGAGGGGGGAGTGCGGAGTGGAGACCCAAAGCCCATGAGTAGGCCACTGGAGATCCCCTTGCAGAGGGGTCTCGGGGAGGAGACGAGCCAGTCAGGGTGGGATGTAGCAACGATGAAAAATACAACTTTCCTCTAGTTCTTAAATGCTTCCTCCCCTTCCCCACTATCATGATCCGAATTCTACCTTGTAAGTCTGGCTAGACTAGAGGGTGTACACTGGTACCGACAGGAACTGGAAATACAGGGAATCCAGGGCAGATGATCCCTTCAGGACCAGTGGTGTGAGTGGCGATACTGGGAGGGTGGAGGGAGGGTGAGTTGGAAAGGGGGAACCGATTACAAGGATCTACATGTGACCTCCTCCCTGGAGGATGTACAACAGAAAAGTGGGTGAAGGGAAACGTCGGACAGGGCAAGATATGACAAAATAATAATTTATACATTATCAAGGGTTCATGAGGGAGGGGGGAGCGGGGAGGGAGGGGAAAAATGAGCTGATGCCAGGGGCTTAGATAAAGAGCAAATGTTTTGAGAATGATGAGGGCAACGAATGTACAAATGTGCTTTACGCAATTGATGTATGTATGGATTGTGATAAGAGTTGTATGAGCCCCTAATAAAACGATTAAAAATATATATATACCCATTGCTAATACTGTTCTCACAGAGCATAACTAGTCTGGCTCCACCTGGAAGCCAGACTTTGCAGGAAATCTAATTCAAAAAAGCACTGTTATATTTGTCAAAAATATTTGAAAGACAGTTACAATCTTTACTCACCTATTTCATAAACTACAAAAGGGACAGCCCATTCTTGATGTCCAGCAACTCCTCTTAAATTCTCCTTTATCTCCTTGTCTCACACAGATAACAATTGGCCCTAAATCTCTGTCATGCCTCAGCCACGTGAGTCACCATCATGCCGATTCTGACTCACGGTGACCTCGTGTGTGTCAGAATAAAACTGGCATCCACCGGGTTTTCAATGGCCTACTTTTTCAAAGTAGGTCACTAAGCCTTTTTCGCCAAGGTACCTTTGGGTGGACCTTCGGCCTTTCAGTTTATGGTCAAGTTCATGAACCCTTCCACCACCCAGGGATTCCTCTCATCACATCTCTTAAACCATTCTCTGAAGTTGGCCCTGATTGCCACTTACCTCTTCAGCTGTGTTCATTGTCCAGACCGGTTACACAACGGTCCAAGAAGTCACGACACCAAGTGGCAGAGCAGAAAGGTTGTCGGTGAGCCCAACACTAGAAACTCAAACCTTAAAAAAGGATCCTGTTTTGTGGCCTCTGGTTAAGAAGGGCACAATTAAGGAAATACAACCCAACACTGTATCCATTCTGAGTTCTCAAAGATAAGTAGTTACTACCTTGATGACAAACTAAAATGGAGAGACAGAGCGGAAAGGAGGGAGTGGGGAAGGAAGCAGGGCAGGGGCGGGGAGAAAGAGAGAGACGAATTCTCGACACTAATTCAGAATAAAGTTATCGTCATTTTATCACCTGCAATGGATTTTGCTTCCAATTTCTCTTGCCTGGCAGCTAAATCACGATGCTCCTGAACAGCAGAAGGAAGTTTCTTCTTGCCAACTTGGCTGTGTGGTTTTGATTTTTCATGATATGAAGTATGCAACATGAATGCTGATAAATAAGGATGGAGACACTGTAGTAATTATATAGCCCCTGTAGTAATTACATCATTCAATTAAGTCTGGATAATTGAAAAGTAGCCAACAACGCATCCAACCATCATGCAAAGCATCACGTTTAGAGTTCATTGTCGCTTGAAACTAAGCAGGCAACTGGAATCTAAGTTCTAGAACACTTCCTGACTCCACCCCACCCACCCACATTGCCTGCTGATTATCAAGCATCAGCCTTTATATAACATTCTTGGTTCTCTTCTCATGAGGAGATAGCTTAGTATTTTTAGTATAATATTCTTGGGAATATTGGTCTTCTTTATAGAGCTATCGATAGAAGTTCATATGCCAAAGAGAGGACAAGTTAAAAGAGTGAATCTGGTAACTGTAACTGACAAATAATCTATCCTACAGATGTCTTATGAATGGCACGGATACACTCCCTACACCTACACACACACACACACACACACACACACACTTTATCACTAACATTTTCCAAGTAAACCTACTATCTCTCAGAAATCTAAAGTATGTGTTTCGCATCTTGCACAGAAGGCTTTTCTGCTTATAGTAAAATAACTTCCTACCTTTGTCCTAAGGCAACAGTTATGTGCTATGTAGTTGGGATTTCTGCTCATTTTTGTTTTTCTTGTCGATTTTTTGTTTCCTGGCAAGTGTTGTGGACTAATCTTTTAAAAAAATAATTTCATTAGGGGCTCATACAACTCTTACCACAATCCATACATACATCAATTGTGTAAAGCACACTTGTACATTCATTGCCCTCATCATTCTCAAAACATTGGCTCTCCACTTAAGCCCTTGGCATCAGGTCCTCATTTTTCCCCCTCCCTCCCCGCCCCCTCTCCCTCATGAACCCTTGATAAGTTATAAATTATTATTTGGTCATATCTTGCCCTGTCCAACGTCTCCCTTCACCCACTTTTCTGTTGTCAGATTGTGGACTAATCTTATTGACTACAAAGATTCTACTAAATTCAAAATCCTAGGCCTTGGAAAAATCCGGTCTCTTGCAAATTGTTTGGTGGACCAAAGAAAATGGTTCCCTGAGCAGGGGCTCTGCTCAAGCCCTGCCTCAACCCAAGAACACATTGTTCTAACAACCTGGCATTCTGTGATGCTCACCCTCCAAGCACAATCACTGAAGACAAAATGGGTGCATAAGCAAATGTGGTGAGGAAAACAGATGGTGCCGAAACAGATGGTGCCGGCTATCAAAAGATATAGAGTCTAGGGTCTTCAAGGCTTGAAGTTAAACCAGCGGCCATCTAGCAGAGAAGCAACAAGCTACACAGAAGAAATACAGCAGCCTGTGCAATCATGAGGTATCTACAGGCTTGGGTAACAGACATCAGAAGACCCAAACAACAAAACAAACAAACAAAAACCATATTGTTGAGAATGAGGAGGGTTGGAGCAGAGACTCAAAATCCATCTGTAGACAATGGGACATCCCCTCACAGAAGGGTCAGGGCACGGTATAGCATCAATGAAACACACACTATTCCTCTGGTTCCTTGAGGCTTCTTCAACCCCCACTATCATGACCCCAGTCCTGCCTTTCACTGCAGCCTAGTCCAGAGCATGTGCACAGGTACAGATAAGAGCCCACACACACGGGATCCAGGAACAGGAATAGGAGTGGTGATACCAGGTGGGTAGGGGGAAGGTGGGCAGAGGAGGGAGGAAGGGGGAATGGATCACAATGATGGACCCATAACCACCACCCACCACCACTCCTTGGGAACGAACAACAGAGACCGTGGGGGAAGGGAGACGGCAGTGGTCAGTATAAGATATGACAGAATAACAATTTATAATTTATCAAGGGATCACAAAGTTGGAAGGGGGGAAAGGAGGGAAAAAAAGAAGAGCTGATACCAAGGGCTCAAATAGAGAGTAAATGTTTAGAAAATAATGGTGGCAACATATGTACAAATATGCTTGGTACAATTGATGTATGGATTGTCATAAGAGCCGTTAAGAGCCCCCAATAAAATGACCTCTTAATTAAAAAAGAAAGAAAAGAAAATGAGTCCCACCTTCTGGAAAGACTAGGACTTACAGCATCAAGAAACCAAGCCTTCGTCCAGATACCCCACGGAGACACACCTCCTGACAACCTCCGTTGCCTGAGTTTACTGTTTTACCTGTGGATATCATGGCTGCCTTCAGGAGAAGATGAGGCTTCGGAGGTCTGTGGGCTACCGCCTGATGGACCACAACGTGTTTACTGGGGGCAGGGCCTTTTAGGCGAAGCACCTGAGTGCTAGACTTAGACTGGACATCAACAAGACTATTGTCTTCTCTTTCCTCTTCTTTATCCCTGCTCTTCTTCAGTTTCCCTCGATCCTGAGCATACTGCCACTTTATGTTTTCAAACTGGAACATGATAATATTGTTCTCTGTGTTGATCACCATCCTGCAAGCAAAAGGACAAAACTGCTCACAAATTGACCCACTGTGGCACAACCTCCGACGTAGGCATGTCAATTCCCCCCTAACGCCAAGGGTAGAGGATGCCCTTGGCGATTGCACAAACAGGATCGTTGGGTAGGGTGTTGAAGGCGCTGAACGGGTAAAAGATGGCAGCCTCACAGCAGGCGTGGTTAGCTTTGTAGCTGTTGTCTCAAGTTACAATATTTTTAGATACATATCAGTTCCTGGAGTGAGTGCCAAACCACCGGAGGTGGCTGCATCAGAAGGCTGGGGCACCTGCCCGTAAAAATCAGTGGTCATAGGGAGAAATAAGGGGAACAGAAACTCAGATTCATAAAAATCCAAACTTACTTGACAAGTTAGTTGATAGTGGGTTTCTCAAGCCTGAGATCACATTTAAACTAAACAACCGACTCATTCACACACAAAGTATCACCTGTCAGTACTGATCTCCTTTAAAAACATCAATCTATATGAGACCAAGCTGTCAATAGTTACTTTAAGACAAAGATCTGAAGGTAAAGGGGCTGGGAAACTAGATGAACAGAAATGAAACAACCAGAAGGGAAGCAAGGGGAATGTCGTGCACTACGAAGAATGTAATCAATGTCACCGAACAATTTACGTTGAGATGTTGAATGAGAACCTAAACTGATACGCAAATCTTCACTGGAAATGCAATACAAGGCTATTTCTAAAAAGTATTTAACACATAAACAAAAACACGAAAGATCAACTGCCATTGAGTTGATTGTGACCGATGTTGATCCCAGGTGTGCTAGACTCGAGTTTTGTATCTATCACAGGATTTTCAATGGTTGAGTTCTCAATAGTAGACCATGAAGCTGTTTTCCCAAGGTGCCTCTATGTCAGTTTGAACCTCCAAACTGTCATTGTCAACACCCAGGGACTCCACCTGGCACATGGACATCTTGAAATGTATGGTTTTAAACACAACATCCCATTCTAATGTTTCAAGGCTGTAATAGGAATGATGTGGAGGTCTTCCCTGACCTGCCAGCCCACCCTCCTCCAGTGTCTCCGTCAATACTGTTAGAACATTTGTGCACTACATGTTGTCGTTGGTAAGTGCCATCAAGCCAGTTCCGACCTTACGTACAATAAAAGGGAACATTGTCCAGTCCTGCACCATGCTCATCATTGCTCCTATGCCTGAGCCCAGTGTTACAGCCACTGGGTCAATCCATTCAGTTGAGAACTTTCCTCTTTTTTGGCTGCGCCCCCCTCCCCTGCTTTACCAAGCATGATGTCCTTCTCTGGGACTGGTCTTTCCCGACAACATGTCCAAAGTATGTGAGATAAAGTCTCGACATCCTTGCCTCTCAAGAGCACTCTGGCCACTTCTTCCAAGTTAGAGTGGTTTGTTAACAGTCCAAGTTACTTCCAATAGTCTTCTCTAGCACCACCATTGAATAATACATTCTTCTTCAATGTCCAACTCCCACAAATATATAAGGTCATTGAAAATACCATGGCTTGGATCAAGCACACTTTAGCCCTCAAAGTAACATCCTTGCTTTTCAATACTCTAAATAGGCCTTGTGCAGATTACTCCAAAGGCAATGCATCTTTTGTTCTCTTGACTGCGGTTTCCGTGAGAAGCGATTGTGGATCTAAGCAAGACAAATTCCTTGATAACGTTGATCTTTTCTCCATTTATCATGATGCTACCTAGCCACCATTCGTGGGGAGTTTGGTCTTCTTGACATTGAGTTGTCATCCATACTGAAGTTTGCGATCCTTGATCTTCATCAGCCACTGTTTCACGTCCTTCTCACCTTTAACAAGCAAGGTTGTGTCATCTGCATATTGCAAGTTGTTGATAAGCCTTCCTCCCAATCCAGTGCCACACTCTTCTTCATATAAAGCTCCTCTCTTGCTCTTAGCCTACAGATGGAATAAGTATGGATACAGAGGATACAGCTCTGACACACACATTTCCTGACTTTAAACCATGCCCTATTCCCTTATTCTCTTCCCCTTGATCCACGTACAAGTTCTTCATAAGCACAATGAGGTGCTCTGAGATTCCAACTCTTCTCAAGATTATACATAGTTCGTTATGATCCACACAATTGAATGCCTTGGCAGAGTAAATAAAACACAAGTAAACATCATTCTGGTATTCTCTGCTTTCAGCCAAGACCCATCTAACATCAACAATATCCCTTATTCCATATCCTCTTCTGAATCCTGCCTGAACCTCTGGCAGCTTCCTGTCAAAGTACTACTGCAACTGCTGTTGGATGACCTTCAGCAAAAGTTTACTTGCATGTGATATCAGTGATATTGTTCTATCATTTGAGCATTCACTTGGGCCATCTTTCTTTGAAATGGGTATACATGTGGATCTCTTCCTGGCAGTTGGCCAAGTCTTCCAAATTTCCCAGCATGGATGAGTGTTTCCAGTGCTTCATCAACTTGTTGAAACATTTTAACCGGTCTTCATTCAATTCCTTGAGCCTTGTTTTTGGCTAATGCTTTCAGTATCTTTGAACTTCTTCCTTCAGCACCATTGGTTCTTGTTCATATGCTGCCTCCTGAGATGATGGGATGTTGGCGAGGTTTTTTTGGTACTGTGATTCTTTCCATCTTTTTACGATGCTTCCTGCATCATTCAATATTTTGCATTCAACATTTTTCAATACTGCAACTCGAGGCTTGAATTTTTTCTTGAGTTCTTTCAGCTTGAGATATGCTGAGCGTGTCCTTTCTTTTCTAAACCTAGGTCTTTGCGGATGGCATCACAATAGTCGACTTTGTCTTCTCAAGCTGCCCTTTGAAATCTTCTACTCAGCTCTTTGACTTTATCATTTCTTCTATTTGCTTTAGCTTCCCTGTGATTAAAAGCACATTTCAGAGTCTTTTCTGACATCCTTTTGATCCTTTCTTTCATTCTTGTCTTTTTCATGACCTTTTGCTTTCTTTGTGAGTGAGGGGGTTGATGTTCTCCCACAGCTGATCAGATCTCCTGTCATTAGTGTTCAATGCATCAAATCTGTTCTTGAGATGTTCTTGAAATTCAGCAAGAATAGACTTAAGGTCATATTTTGGCTCTCATGGACTTGGTTTAATTTTCTTCAGTTTTAACTTGAACTTACATAGGACAAATGAGAGTTTGTTCTACAGTCAACCCCTGGCTTGGTTTTTAGCTGCTGAGAATGAGCTTCTCCATCATGTCTTCTCATTTATGTCATCTGTTTGATTTCTGTATTCTATCTGGAGAAGTCAATAGGTTATTGTGTTGTTGAAGAAAGGTATTTGCTATGAAGACATCATTGATTTTGCAAAATTCTATCATGCAATTCCCAGCTTCATTTCTATCACCATATCCATATGTTCTAACTATTATTCATTACAATTCCTTCCTCTTTGTTTCCAACCTTGCATTCCAATTGCCAATAATGACTCATGAACTTTGATTGCAGGTTTGATCAATTTTAGACTGAAGACATTGGTAGAATTCTTCAATTTCTTCATCACTAGCTTTAGTGTTTGGTACAGAAATTCGAAAAATAGTTGTACTGATTGAATTTCCTTGAAGGCAAATAGATATAATCCTATCATAGATAGCACTATACGTCGATTGATTTTTAAATATCCTTTTTGACAATCAATATCACACCACTGTAAATCATATAATTTTCTGATTTAAAATGGTTAAT